CCGCCCCCTTCCTTTCATTCTCACGCTCCAAAATAGGTCACGGGGTGGAAGTTACACCTGGTACAGCCCTCGGCTCTGATGCAAAAGAGCTTTCCTTCCCAGCTCCGGGAAGGCATTTTAACTATTAGGTTGCTCAGATCTTCCCGCCCCGATACAGTGCAGAAAGCACTGACGACCCGGGCGCTGACAGCGGTCTGCGTAGAGAAGAGGTGAGAAGCGTCTTTTCCGCCCCAGTTCTGCTGGCTCTGTGACCGCAGGGAGGACAGGGCGCGACAGGTCGCCTTGCGCGCCCGGGTGCCCCCGCCTGGGGTCTGACCGCCCTGGTGAGTTCCTGAGCCTTCTTGGCCATTCCAGTCGCGTTAGGTGGCCCGTGTACCTTGCAAGCTTAGACATGACCAAAACAGGAGAGCTTGCGGTGCATTCAGGGCTTTGGAGATGTGCTTCAGACCCAGGGGTAGAGAGGATAAGTCAGAGCCCAGGGCCGAGGGGGGGATATTTAGTGGCGTAAAGGTGAACGTGAATTTGTGTTTTCATCGAGTGTACATGTATCTTTCTCTTTAGAAGCTACCACTTGGGAATTGATTTTTAACTAGCGGGAGGCAGCAAGCTAACTTGAAGCAACAAAGTTTTCAAAGCAGGCGATGAAAATGCTTTTTTTAAGGACTGTCAAAACAGGACCGTGAGATTTGTTGCAATATTACTTGCTGTGTGTGTCTTTTTATGACTTGTTTTCTTGGCGACAAAAGATACAAGTCTATCATAGTTACTGTAGAAAGGATAAGGCTGCAGATAGGTATGGGCAAAGCTTTATATTAGTTGGTGTGGACAATTTAAATGGACATTGGATATTTTGTGTGGGGAAAGAGCTAGAATATATCTATACGTTTGAGATTAAAATTATTGGTAATCTTTTTTATTTATTAAATTATTTTAAATTTTTTTACTTTTTTGATACTGGGGATCGAACTTGGGACCTTGCGCTTGTGAGGCAGGCGCCGGAACCACTGAGCTAAATCCCCAGCCCAATTATTTGTAATCTTACAGGTAACAATTGACATTTAATGCTTTGTTTCAGCAGCCAAAAGTACTGTTATTTATGTGATTCATTAGCAAGTGGAATCTGTTACCTCCCTGCCCAAAGAATAGTTAATATCTTTTGAAGTTTAGCCAAGGGAGAGCTGTAGGTTTTTCTGTCCTTGATGCCTGGCTGAAAATGCAGTGTGAACAGCTTCAATGCTGTGAGTGGTGACCTAGAGATGCTCAGAGGGGAGCGTGACTTGAGAGGCAGGCGAGTAGCTCTCTGGTGCCTTTGATGGTGGGTGACTTGTTTAAAAGAGACCTTGACAGGTTGGAAAATATTTCCTCACCAAGGAAACTGCTCCGGAGAACCTCTGCATTTGCTCAGATTTGAAAAGGAGACTCTCTATAGATGTTTTTCCTTATTCAAACCAAATTGTATTTCTAGAAAGATTCAATTATATAGTGCTGTTCTTTGGAAATAATTTGCCCTTCTCTGGTTGTATTTTAATAGGACTAAAGCACCAAAGTAGTTCAGAGGTTTTAATAGAATTTTACTTAGCAGAAGAATGGTGACATCGAATATGCTTGGTCTGCATAGTTAACTAATTCTGCCTCTCCATTGGTGGGGGATAAATCTCAGTTCTCTGTTTGTTTAAGTGTATTTTTTAAAGCCAAATCTTTCCTGGGATTAAGAGGACTGTACAGAAGAGGTGTTAATCAGACTTTACCTATAGTATTTCTGAGAGATGGATATGCGAATACTTCAGTGCATTTTACTTGAAAGAACAGAGGATTAATCTTCAAAAAGTGAAGCACATCATGGTGAAGGCTCTGTCATTACTTTGAAGAAGACATAAACCAGATATATTTGGCAATACACAGGAAAGAAATGCGAGAGAAACATGGAGCCGAATTCTTGTGTTTACTGTGTGTTGATGTGCTGGTTTTGTTTTTAAGTAGGAACTGAGTGAAAAACTCATTGCAGTTAGCCTGTGATACAGTGGGTTATTAAATTAGGCTGTGAGCATTTGTCTGTGCAATCTTAGGACTTTACTCAGAGATACGTTAGGAAGTACTCTGAAAAGAGTGGCACAAAAGTATTAAGATAACTGGAGAATTCAAGGACAGACCAAAGGAACTAAACACTGAGCCTGATTCTGGCATACATTGGTTCTTGGTAAGGCTGAAAGAATAGTGATGCGAAATGGCCAATTGAATGTCCTGTAGCTTTTGTGATTCTCTTCTCTTAATGGCCTAAGAGGGGACATCACCTAAAACTCTGAGCTAAGAGGTGTTCAAAAGGGTTAATATCATTCATTTGGGGTACTTTCTTCTCATCCAGAGAAACTTCAACCTCTCCAGGAAGGCCTGTTAAACAAGATAAGCTGGAGTGAAGCCCAGCTCATAGCCATGTCCCAAGATGTGAAATGGAGACAATGGTACTTGCTCAGGTGGTGTGAGGAGGGAAAGGAATAATGGGCGTGAAATGCTGAGTATGCTGTTGGCACATTGTGAGCAGTCATAAAGAGTGGTTGTACCAGGAAGTAGAAGTATGTTAACTTACAATCATCCCAGAGGCTGCAGAGGGGCTGATGCATAATTGCCTCTCGAACTGAATATTTGAGTAAATAGGTCATTCCTTATCCTGTAGTAGTCAGTGTTCTTTTGGGAGCTGGAAGCTGACACCGTCAGCTGACATTGCCTCTCCTCCACCATGGACAGGCCTTTGACTGTCTAAGTTAAAGAGGCCACCTGTGATTATTTTCAGAAACAATGGTGAGGTAGGTAGTAGAGGAAGGGAGAAGTCAGCCAACTAAAATTCTGAAATAGATTTTAAAGATTTGCTTAACTAGCTTTTGCTAATGTTTTTAAAAGTATAGTCCTGATAATGTGATAGTAATTCCTGGAGTTAGATAAGGTGGAGAATGCCCTTCATGATTTAGAAATGGAATATAGTATTTGGACTTTTGGGAGGAAGCAGCAATACCATTCCTTCAGCTTTTCAGTGTCTCATCATTTCCAAGGCATCTGTGGCGTTAAAAGCCATAAAAACAGCCCTGACTCTTTTTTTTTGCAGAATTCATGCCTGCTGGTAATAAGTAGGTAAACCTGTAATTAAACCTGTGTTAAGTTGTATAGGAAAAATGTCAAGGTCTGTGTGTGTAAACTCCAAAATTCATGTTGAAACTTAGTCCCCAGAGGCATATGTAAATGATATTTGGAGGCAGGGTGAGTTAGGTTTAATGAGTTCATAACTATGAGCCTCATAATTGCATTAATGGCTTTATGAGAAGAAGAGAGACCCAACTTAGCAAGCTTGCTCTTTCTTGCCAAGTGATACCCTACATCTCCACAGAACTAACTCTACAGCTTATTCCTAGCAACAAGTCCCTCACCAGATGCTGACTGGCAGATACTGGCATGGTGTTCTAGATTTCTCAGCCTCTAGAAGTGTGAGATAAATAAATGTCAGCTCCTTATACAACATCTGATCTCTGATCTGTTGCATTAAGTTTTAGCAACTGCAAGTGGACAAAGGCAGAAATAGGGAATCTGACTTGCGAAAGGAAGGTCAGGAATGCTCGCTGAAGGAAATGATTCGAAGGGAGAGCATTTAATGCAGAGTGAAGTCTGTGCATTTGTGCATGTGTGTGTATGTATTTAGGGAAAGACAATGGAGAGGACAGGTGTCTTTGAAGAAGAAACAATGCTGTGTAACTGAGGCTGGAGCAGTAGGCCTAGAACATGTGATACGTTTTTCTTTTCTCATACATAAAGCTTATAGTATAAATGGAACTCTTTTTTTTTGTTTGTTTAAATGTCTTACCTTAGGCTTTTTTTTACAGACAATTGAATTATAAGAAGGAAATTGCACTCTTAGTTGATCAGAAACCAAGCCAATATTATCATAGTTGATTAATTTGTCAGTACTTTGTATTAATTATCTGACTTGAAAACCATATGTGGCTAGCAGTGTAGCTCGGTGGTACAGCATGTGCTTGGCATGTGCAAAGCCCTAGGCCAGTACCACACCACAACAAACAAACAAACAAAAGTGTTGGACTAATTTAATTCTCTTTTTAAAATCTAGTAGATTTTTGTTTAAAATTCATGTTATATATATGTCCAGCTTTCATATTGTCTCTCTCTCACACACACATACACATACATTCAGTTGGAATCAACAGAGTTGTCAGTTGCTTGCTGTTTCTCATGGGGAAAGCTCCTAGCCTCTGTTTGGGAAGCCCTGGGCCCAGCCTTGTGATGTTGTGACACTTGTGCTGCAAAGCACTTGTAGAAAGCAGCCGCACCATTGGTGCTTTGCTCTTTCAAGGTCTGTGAAGAACGTGGTGTGTGATCCTCTTCCCCATATGCATGCTTTTACTTTTTATTTTTCTTTGTTTCCTTTTACTTTCTCCTTCTTTCTCCAGGGTCTACCTGATTATTCCTCATTTTTCATAATTACGTTTTCACCTCACACCCAGTCCCTAAAGGGTTATTGGTCCAACTTGGTTAGTCCTAGATGTCTGGTTTTCGACCTTCTTGGTCCTCATTGCATCACTGTGGTTGCCAGGTGGACACAACCTTTTCCCCCTTCACAGTTCTCCCAAGGCATTCCAGATCA